TTAGTTACATTCCTTCTATTAGTATCATATTAGTATCTCTATTATCAATTTGATTCTCTTAAAACGCTCGTTGTTTGACTTAAGAGATTAACTAAATTTTTATCCAGGCGACAAAAATGCATGGTAGTCACTCATGCGATAGAAGTAATGCTTATAAATACATCTAATGCACTCATTTATTGCCTCTTGTATACCTTACTTACCCCTTTTTAACAGACCTTATATTACAATGCCTACGATGAAGAGGATAGAGGGCGATTAAAAGATGTTTTAAGCATGCTTAGTCGAACACGCAATAAATTGGAGCGTGACTTGTCCCGCCACATCTGGCTTAACCTTCATCTGGCTCGTCTAATGTCCACTGGTCATCTTGCTCGGCATCATTTACCTATTCTCCATCCACCCTATCCTTTTCATGCGCCTCATCTTCAGCTGCAAAACCAATTTCAACCTTACCGGTCAGTCGGACCCATTGGAATTGTATCCTCTTCTGTTTCAGTGCATCCATCTCCGCTTAATCCAAATGTTCCTGTGTCTATTTGTGATAATGGCAGTGGTAATTCTGGTGGAATTCCGCCTTCTGGGCGAGCCACATCTCCTGTCATCGTTGCCTCTAGCATGTCTTGTAGTGCTCCTGCTTTTGGCAATGCATTTGGCTTTGGAGTAGTGGCTTCCGGACACTCCACTTTATCTCCGCTTTCTGGTGTTTCCATGTCATCTGTACCGTCTACTTCACAGACTCCCATCTCAGCATCGTCGCATTGTATTACTGGCCTGACAACTGCCACTGGAACATTTGCTGCATTTCATTCACCTGGATCTGCCTTGCCTTCCTATTCGACAGGTTTGAATGGGATCGGTTCTTCAAGTAACTTAAATCCTATGTGCTCATCCACCAGTGGCGGCAGCAGTTCTTCTTTTTTCTCTTCAAGCTATAATAGTTTGGCCAAAGCAGAAGAAATTGAGCGTTTGACGGGTGGCAAAGAGCGACTACTTCATCCACAAGAACGTGCTACGTCCCTAGGCGAATTTGTGATGGGTAAGTCTCATATTTGTCTCCAGACTGGGATTCCTGAGTTCTTAGGCTTTATTCTAAAATGAGTTAAGTTTTTTTCATGTTCTTTATACTAGAACGTTTGATTCATTAATTTTTTATTCTAAACTAGTTAGTATATACTCAGGTGATTCATTGCCTCAATTTAGCATCTAACTATAACTATGCCTATCTTTCTGACAGCAGGAAATATCTTTTTAACCAGTCTGATGTAACTGTAGGCCATCAATTTACATGTAAAAGTTATGAATTACTTTTCAATTGTCGCCGGTTTATGGGAATACTAGTTTGACTTCAAAAGAGTACAAGTTACCATAGATTTAATAAGCTTATTTTGTACTGGCTCAAGCGACTATCTTCTCATTTTCATTTTTATATTTAAAACTATCACAACATCCTGCTTTATATTGAAGCTTTATTTTGACATCACAGTGCCAGCACATTACTTTTTTTTAAATTGTGACTTGAGTTTTTAAAAATTAAAAAGCGATTGTGTACCCTTTTCAAGTAAAGCAAAACTCGATTCATAACGTTTAACCTTATTGGACTATGATATTGTTTAATGATTAAATAATTCAACGTGATTATGTCTTATGGACTTGACTTCATTTTGCAATTTGTCAATTAACACAGCTTGTTCTCAGTCCTTTTCATTTTGATCCTAATTATTTCTGCCAATGAGCCTTAAAGTTGCTACATTCCTAGACGTTTCGGGGCCCAGGCGAGGCCGAGATAACTAGCCGTCATAGATGATACTGCCTATTGGAAAACAGAGCTAGTTATGATTTAATGGTATCGTGTTCTTATCATTGTGGGAAAATTCAGTTATCTACCTTCCATTACCTTCTACAATCTTAGTGAATACAGCTCATCATATATACCATGGCAGCGGACTCAAACGTAGCGCGTCCATCGAGGTCGACTTGGCATCTCAAAAAGCTTAGAAAATGCGATCAGGCTACTTCATTAGACTTGATGAATTTGCATCAAATAGCCTTAATTTTTTTTCTCTTTATTTTACTTCTTGTTTTATAGAAGGTCGTCTTCATGTCCGGAAGGAGGGTAAATGTGTATCTACAGAACGCTTAGTATACTTGTTTACCGGATTCATGCTTGTGTGTAAATGGCAGGAACGGCGTTGTTGCTCTGTGGCCTTAGCTCCGTCGGGCGCCCGTGAATCAGCTGTTCTGCGCGTCAAACGTCGTGTGCCTCTCGATGCTATCCACGTTCTCGATCTGGGACCACCAGTCCAGCCACAATTAGCTGCCTCTTCTCTTAACGTAGCCGGTGGTCAGGACGATGGACTCACAGCAAACGGCCTTATGGCACATTACCCTTTGGCGGGTTTGTCATCAAGATTTTGTTTGGTCTTTCCATGTTTGAATAGTGTTTTCAATGCCAACATAAATACATTTTCTTACACATATTCATATTCCTTCCAAAGAATGCGATAAATTGGAATGGGGATGAGAAAGATAATAACTGGTTCATGGGTATGAAGCCTAGGGAGAGAAATATGTCTAGGCATGAGAATCACCGGAGGACGGGAATTGAATGCTCATAGACAGTCAGTGTTCAGACGGCCGAAATCGATTTTCATATGTAGTAGAGACTACCTTAGAAGCGGGTTGGAGGGAGGGGCAAAATACCGTAAGAAGCTATACCACAGAAGCCCCGAAAACGACATCTGAGGCCTGCAACACTCTTAAACGACATGAAGGAAAGCTATTTGATGTGGATACGAGGGGGTTTGACCTCGTTTCTGCAACGTGGTCGGAGCATCGGGGAGACCTTGTGAAAAGTACCTAGTCATGCGTCATCTGCCATGGTATTCGTAATTTCCAGTATCGGACCAATGACTGTACATTCTCAAACATTTTGCTTGCATCGTCAATGAGGCGATATCGTTAGGAAAAAGTTACTACTTATCAAAGTAGCATGTGAAGGCAATCGCCTTGACAAATTATCTGTTCAATCATTATGGCATCACTCCTCGCCCCTATTTTTTGTCCTACTTTCTAGTTGTGCATCTTTTTCTCTCAACCCCACTTTATATGGCCCATTTATCTATTCACACAATTATATGCTATTGTCTCCTCCAATATCAATAAAAGTTGGATTTCAAGGAGTCTCTTGCTTCATAATTGTTGAGCTTACTTCCAGTTAGAGTGAAAATGTTTGTTGAAGAGATTCGAAGGTCGATTCCACCAAAAGGCGACGGCAGATTCCTCTTAACCAGCTATCGATTGGCTTTACAGGAACATTTATGTTGACGCTTTTATCAAGGTAATCTCATTCGATTCCGGTGAAAAGGTGCTAAGCTTTCGTTTGTCATTTTTATGCATAGTCGCCGGTGTTCTTTGATCCTTATGCTGATTGTCCTTTCGTCTCTCCAATGTATATTTGTTTACATTACATGCTGTTTATGCTGTAGCCTCCAAGCGCTCAATTGTGTTGACTTTTTTGATGTTGGGTGGGCAAACTGGTGATGAAAGTTATCCTTACCTTCACGATTGTACGAGGGTTCCATTTCAATAGTGTCGGCTGCATCTTCCTAGCCAATTCACGGAAGCGTAAATATATCCATTTTTCTACTCTGTTTACCTTGTTTCTGTTTTATAATCCCCGTCCTACCTTCTGCTTATCACGATCAGAAATTTTGCGTTTAATTACTTCTGGATTTCTATTTCCAAACAAAAATTTAGCTTGTGTTTCCATTTCCTCTTTCTTGAACTCATAATCGTCTTATGACCATACTTCTGAGTATTCTAATCTTTGTTCCATAAGTATAGTTAGGTTTGAAGTTAAGGATTATTCCTTCATGTGATTTCTTTCGGAACAGTCGTTTCTTATGAGTCGCCTTTGAACGAATGACCTCTACGTTCAAGAAACGTATGTGTCTGTTCTCTTCCACCTCCATCGTAAATTTGACTT